ATCGTGGCTGTACTTTTTTCCAAATATACTTGTTGCTTTTCCTGGCAGTTCATAATATATTTAATATTCTTGCCAACACTGTAATTCAAATGTATCAATCATTCCTTGTTTTCCTTATTCATTGTTCAGCTTTTACATACGTATGAAGCAATGGAAAATATGATGGCATGGGTCGAGCACACCTTAGTCCTCAAAGTGATATCACTGCTCTTTACAACACTTTAAGGAAATCTTTTGCAGCAGGGTTTCTCAAGACAGTACATAAAATATTTTCTTGATTACTACTTCGTGGTTGTTGATTGTAGATCCAAGTAAAAAAAAATCTTTGACAATTTCCATATTTTCTCTTTTTATCCAGATTTTCCTTGTCTAGTTGTGAAAATGTTATTTTATGTTGAAAAGTATTTATCACTTTTAGGAAGCAAATGTATGTCATCTGCATATTGCAGGTTCTTTATGAATTGTTTTTCAATCCTGATGCTGTATTCTTCTTTACATAGTCCAAGTTCTTGCATTATTTGTTTAGTGACCTCTTCTGAACCAGTTGAATTCCTGGCAGTTCTCTGTAAATGTACTGTTTTATCGGTTTTAAAATAATCTTCAGCAATATTTTGCATATATATGGTATTTGATAACTTCCACATTCTGCTAGGTCACTTTTGGGAATGGGAATAAGTATAGATCTATTCTTGTCAGTTGACCAGGTCGCTCTCTTCCAGATTTCATGGCACAGCCTGATGCACACATCCAGGGTTGCAACAGTTTGCTGGAATATGTCAATTAGTATTCTATCAGTTCCTAGGACCTTATTTTTTGCTAAGAACTTCTTTCTTTTATTACTATTAGGTTTTGATCATGCTACTTCCTGAAATGTATCTGTGTCAGCCAATTCTTTTGGTACAGTGACTGTGTATTCCTTGCATCTTCTTGTGAATCATTCAAGATTTTGCTCATAGCTCTCTACTCTAACTTGAGGCTTTTGTGAATTACAAATTTACGGCTAGCATTGAGAAGAAGGGGAATCTCAAAACTATTAATTCTGCTAATGTGAAACCCAGACCAAGAAACTGTTATCCAAACAGAGCAAGGGAACACTGAATGGTTTAAAATCAAGAATGGTATGTATCAGGGCAGTATCTTTTCTCCATACCTATTCAATCTGTATGTTGAACAAATCATTAAAAAATTCAAACTTGACAAAGAGAAAAAACAAGAATTCAAACTTTCATGAAGAAGAATAAGGCATTAGGATCAAAGGAAGACTCATCACCAACCTGTGTTACACTGATCATATAACCTTGCTTGTTGAAAGTGAGACTGACTTAAAGAGCTTGCTGCAGATCAAAGCCTATAGTCTGAAATATGGATTTCACCTCATTATCAGGAAAACAAAAGTCCTTAACACTGGACCAATAAGCAACATAATGCTACGTGTAGAAAAGATTAAAGTTGTCAGTGATTTCCTCATACTTGGATCTGCAATCAACACCCTTGGTCAAGGAATGAAAAGATGAGTTGCCTTGGGAAAATCTGTCAGGGACATCTCCAGAATATTGAAGAGTAATAATGTCAGTTTTAAAACTAAGATGTGCCTGATCCAAGCCATGATATTCTCAGTTGCTTGCTAAGGATGACAAAAGAATTGATGCCTTTGAGTTGTAATGTTGGAGAAGAGTACTGAATGTCCCATGGACTGTCAAGAAAACAGACTGATCTGTCCTAGAGAAAGTGAAGTAAGGGTGCTCATTTGTGGCAGATGGTAAAACTGTCTCACATACTTTGTGCGTGTTGTTAGAAGGGTCCAGTCCTTGGATATTTATATTGTGTTTGGAAGTTGGAGGGTCAGCGCAAAACATAAAGACCCTCAGAGAGATGGATTGACATGGTGACTATTACAGTGGGCATATCAGAGATGCTGAGAATGATGCAGGATAGGGCAAGGTTAAGATCTGTTCATAGGGTCACTGTGAGTCACAGTTGACTGGACAGCACATAACAACAACAACAAAATAATTGAACATTGGCCATTTCTTCCTAGCATGGTGCCTATAGTACTTCTATCTTTTGATACTGACTCAATCTGTTTAAGAACAGTACATAGATAAGAAACTGCCAGAAGTTCAGGAAGGATTTAGGAGAGACTGGCATCAGGGATGTCATTGCTGATGTCAGATGGATCCTAGCTGAAAGTAGCGAATACCAGAAGAATGACTATTTGTGCTGTATCGACTATGCAAAAGCATTTGACTATGTGGATCATAACACGTGGCTGACATTGAGAAGAATGGGAGTCCCAGAACATTTAATTGTGCTTATGCAAAACCTATTCCTGGACCAAGAGGCTGTTGTGCAAACATAGCAGGGGAACACTATGTTAAACATGGTTTAAAATTAAGAAGAGAATGTGTAAGAGTTGGAGTTGTATTCTTTCTCCATACCTATTCAGTCTGTATGCTGAGCAAATTATTTGAGAAGCTGGACTTTATGAAGAGGAATGTGGCATCAGGATCAGAGGGAAACTCATCAAAACCTACCTTATGCAGACAACACAATTTGATTTCTGAAAGTGAGGAGGGATTGAAGCACTTGTTGTGGAAGGTCAAAGAATGAAGTTGTCGGCACGGATTGCATCTCAACGTCAAGAAAACGAAGATTCTTATTATTGGATGGTTGGGCAACATCATGATGGATGGAGACAAGATTGCAACTGCTAACAGCTTCATCTTACTTGGATCCACAATTAACACGCTTAGTACCAGCAGTCGGGAAATAAGAAGACACACTGCACTGGGAAAATCTGCAGTTAGGGACCTCTCCAGATTATTGAGTAGAAATGATGTCAGTTTGAGGACTCAGGTGCATCTGCTTCAGGCTATGGTCTTTCCAATCACTTACTGTACATCTGAGAGCTGAACAATGATTAGGGCTGACAGAAGAATTGGCCAAGATCAGATGAGTTGTAAGGTGCCATCAAGATTGTACATGGAAAAAGCAAAAAGTTATTTAAAAAACAAGAAAGAACACAAAATCCAAAAGGGATGTTAGAAGAGCCTCTAAAACTTGCTCGTGAATGCAGAGAATCTGAAGAAGAAATTATGGAATAAAAGAGCCAAACAGGAGATTTCAAAGAGCAGCCTTATCAGACAAAATAAAGTATTAAAAAGAAATAGAGATACCATTTGACCCAGCAATCCCATTACTGGGAATATACCCCAGAGAGACCATGTCTGCCATCCAAGCAGATATATGCACACCCATGTTTATTGCAGCTTTGTTTACAATAGCAAAGAGTTGGAAGCAGCCTAAGGGCCCATCAACAAACGAATGGATAGAGAAGCTGTGGTATATCCACACAATGGAATACTACGCAGCATTGAAAAACAAGGAACTCATGCAATATTATTCAAAGTGGGTGACCCTGGAGGACATTATGCTGAGTGAAATATCTCAGTCACAAAGGGACAAATACTGCATGGTGCCACTGTTGTAGAATGGGTCTGACATCAGGGTGGGGGCATGACAGAAAAAACTGGATAAATGATGTATATTGTATTGAAACAGATGAGGGAAAGAACAGATTAGAAGTGATATATGATTGAGTATTATGGTTAGCACAGGAATCCAGAATTAAGGTTGCATAGAGAAGTGTACTCAGGGTGTGGGGTGGGGGCAAGGGATGTGGGAATTGTATACTAATGAAGGAATTTTTTTTCTTTTTTTTTTTTTTTCTCTTCGGAGGGGGAAGCGAGCTGGTGGGGAGGGGTGGGAAGGGAGAAAATTGCGGCAATGAATGAATGGAAATCCAAAACCTCTGTTAAAAAAAAAAAAAGAAATGTGCAAAAACCTGGGGTTAGAAAATCAAAAGAGGAAGACCATTCAGTATTTCTCAAGCTGAAAGAAGTGAAGTAATGAATCAAACTTTGACTTGCCAGTCTGAAGTTTTCTATAGGCAAACAAATATGGTTTGACACAGAGGTTCCAATGACATGCTTAAATATAATACCAATTGCAAGGATGACACAGGAGTGGGCAGTGCTTCGTTCTAAACCAGTTTGTAACCCCAAGAATGGGAATAATACATGATGTTGTTGCTATTGTTAGGTGCCGTCGAGTCGAGTACAACTCATAGTGACCATATGAACAGCAGATCTGAACTCCATCCCGTCCTGCGCCAACCTCACACTTCCTGATACACTAGAGCCCGCAGTGGCAGTCACCATGTCAATCCACCTGGTTGAGGATCTTCCTCTCCTTTGCTGACCCTCCACCCTTCCTAACATTATGCTCCTCTCTAAGAAATAGCCCCTTCTAACAACATGCCCAAAGTATATGAAGTGAAGCCTCATCATTCTTGCCTTCAATGAGCACTCTAGTTGTACCCTTTCCAAGACATATTTACTTGTTCTTTTGGCTGTCCATGGGATATTCAGTGCTCTTCTCCAACACTTGGGGCCACCTTTCTGACTTCTCAGTCAAATATCATTTGCATGAGGCTATTTTTGAAGGACTATAGAATAGTAAATGAAAAAATTGAAAAAAATTTTGAGAGAAAAATTGTCTTTGAGGTTTTTTTGTTTTAAATGGTCTTAAATAACTACAATATATGTTGTTGTTGTGTTAAGTGCCATCTAATTGACTCCAACTTATAGCAATCCTGTTTATAACAGAATGAAACATTGCCTGATCTTGTGACATTTTTACAATTGCTTTAATGCTTGTGCCCATGGTTGTAGCTATTGTGTTTACCTTACTGATGAGCCAGTCAGTTCCCATTAAGATTTTTAAGACTCAGAAACACTATGGAGCAGTTCTACTTCTTTTTTATGGTTGGTTAGAATCAGCTTGATATTAGTTGAATATCAACTAATTGAAGAGGATAAGCTTATATAAAGTTTGATGTTATAAAAAAAGACCACAACTATCAATATGAATATTATTGCTCAACCATATGTAAATATTAAGTTGTCACTGATTATAATTACATATGCCTTGCATTGCAGAATTTGTTAGTGGAGCACTTAATAAACTTAAATCTAACAGAACACCTTCATTTACGCCTCAGCAAGAGACAACTGGTATGTATTATATCTATCTACTAAACTGAAAATTTTTCTAGTGTTCTACAAAAGAATTACAATAATAAGTAACAAATTTAACTTGTTTGAATCAAATTCAAATATTTAGTGGCAGTGTTTTACTATGCTCTTCGATATTGACATTTCTAGTTTCTTATTGAACATAATGGACTAAGAGTTTCCTTTATTTTATTGTTAGATCTTTAGTCTTAGTCATGTTTTTCTGTTAAATATTAATGAACATGGAAGAATAGCTTCAAGACATTGCCTATCTTTATAGATACACTGTCCCTGAAAAGCCAGACTCCATTTTATGTAGTTAAATCCCTGTGTGGAAAATCTTTTGCCCCAAGCCTCAGAGTTGTACCTTGAACTGCTTCCCAGAATAGTAACTGCTATTGTCTATTATGTTTTGCACTCTAAGTACTCTTCAAATGTTTCAGCTGCAGGCTACTGTTCATGTATCTCTATGCCCTTGAATTGTCTTAACAGCAAAATGTTATTCTTGTATCTCTTTGCCCTTGAAATGTTTTTAACAGTTGACTGCTGTAGCTAGTAACCCTGCATAAAAAGAGTATAAAAAGCCTCTTAGCAAGAACCAAAGGGGGAGTCCTGCCTCAGTGCTGGGACTCTTCCGCTGCACAGCTATTAAAGGACTTCACCTGTAATTCTGCGGTGTATGTCTCTTAGTCCATCTGGCACAACAGTCCCGTACCAAAGCATATGCATTTAAACACACACGTTTTTGTTTTAGAACCAGAAGACAAATTAGTATGTACTATGTTTTTAAATTTTGCTTGCTTGTAACTGAAATTGTCCAGCCCAGTTGATAAATAAACTATGACATTTTGTATTATTTTCAGTATTGAAGAAGTTAACTGAACTATCAGTATGATATAAAGCAAAAATAATGCTTAGATCAGTGTTTTAACTCATTATAATTCTTTTCTCCATTAATGTTCTTCAGTGTATTATGCTATCTTTAGTCTATTTCATTTATGTTCTTGCTATTCTTAAGAATCTTGCTTCTTTATGATGTCACTATTATCCTTTTAAGCCCTTTTACCATGTTAATCAATTGCATTACATATATTTGCTATTATAAACGTGTCCTCCCGATCTTTTTGGTTAATGCTAATAACTTTATAAGTGATTCTATAAAACCTCTGCCTTTTATCTACTCTAGGAGAAACAACAAATTGGTTTTTTGTTTTTTGAATTTTAGCTCAAGTGTCTGCTGTATCACCAGTCATTCTTACACCAAGTGCTAAGCGTAAACTGCCAGTAGATTCTGCTCATGGTTTTTCAAGTAAGAAGAGGAAATCCATCAAGCACAATTTTAACTTTGAGCTATTGCCAAACAATCTCTTCAGTAGCAGTTCTACACCAGTATCAGGTAACAGGTCAAATTTATATCATTTGATAATATGCATTGAAATGAGTGACTATCTATTCTATGCAGAGTGCTTTTATACATTTTATACTGCCGCTTAACTGTTAGATAGAAAAAGAATTTGAGGGTGCAAGAGAGAGAGAGAGAAGAAACTGTTCCCAAGAAATGAAGAAGCCTTTATTTTATGGTCTGAGGGACACCACATGACCAGGAGCAGAGAAAGTAAAAAAAAAAAAAATCGTGTACAGGCAATTAGGAGCTGTTCCTTCTTATATGAGTCCTGGGGAGGACTATGGAAGATGGTATTTCTCAGAATATGGGGTGTTAATTAACTTGGGTTTAGGCTTTTGTGATCAGGCTCAGATTCTTATCCAGATCCATTGTCTGGTCTGGTCTTTGATCTGGCCACCTCAGATGTTCTCAGGTTTCTCAGAAGTGATCATTTCTGGGAGGCGGGGTGTGGGTGTGGGTGTAGGTGAGGCAACTTCTATAGTCTTCCTCCATTAGGAGCCAGAGTTTTCTTCCATATTTCATCAAATCTCTGCATTTTATCAGGTCCCCTATATTTAAAAAAGTTTTAAAATCTTACATCGGTTGTGTGCATCAAGTCTTTTTTCAATTCATGTGACAACCACATTCATCAACCAGTGTGTTAGAGCAAAACTGCCCCATATGGTTTCTAGTCTTTACAGGAACAGATTGTCAGGTCTTTTCATTTGCAGGGCTGCTGGTAAATTCAAACCACTGACCTTTTTGTTTGTAGCTAAACACTTAACCATTGTGCCAGGAGGGCACAATTTTCTATAGTATAATAATCGTTGTATTTGTTATATTGTCATATAGTAAGTATTATAGCAAATTTAAATATGTTAGCTTTCAATGTTTGCTCTTCCTCCAAACTGCAACAGAGCCAGTTCACTTTGACACAAGCCCAGAAGGGTCATCTCAGAACTCACTCACTCCTGGAGCCATCAGTGGCGACTGCATCAGCACAGGTGTCCAAAGAAGAAGTAAAAGGATTGCAAACAAGAAAGTTTGCAGGTATCTGATCCAGAACATTTTCTTTCTAGCTGGTTTTAATTTCTTCATTTGCTGATTGCTACGGAATACCACCCTGTAGCACTGCTGGACCATGACTTTTGTATCTCTTATGTGATTATGCTATAAAGTCACATATTCAATTTATTTTATACACATAAGCAGGAAGATAAAGAAAAAGGAACAGAATCATTTTATTTAACCTGTAGTATGGGAAGATGGGTTAATGAGACTGAAATTCTCTCCTGGAAATATGAGACATAAACAATATATTTATTCCTGGATGCATTATATAGGAATGATTTTATTTAATGAAAAAATGGCATATGCTTAACAAAATACTTTCTTTATTCTGCCTACAGGGAAACATTTCCTGATACCTTCATATTCTTATTGCTCTAAGTGTTTTTGTGTATCTTCATCAGAAAAAGTTTTTCGATCTGCATGCACTGTGCTTGTTTAAAAGGCTATTTTTGTGTTGATTTGGGTAATTTTAAATTTTTCTGTTAGTTGACAGCAAATCTATTTTAATAATCAGTTAAAAATGATAAGTTTATAACAGCTAAGAAAGTTCTTTCTAATAGAGAGTAACAATTATAAAAGTTGGGACTTGTGACTGAGATGGAAAACTAAAAATATTTTCTACTGAAACAAGAGAAAGAAAAGCGCACCCTGTCAAAGGGTAAAAAAAGGCAGTCTGTTAAACTCTAGCAGTCACAGATGTCACTATACAAATGCAATACACACACATGCACGCACACACTGGTGTAGTATTGTAAAGGTAAACTAATTCTAGAAAAGTATTACTCTAGCCAGTTATTAGCACTATGACTTACTAGAGATTTTTCTCTTAAATTTCTTATTGTAATAATTTCTTTAGTGTTTTATGTATAAGAATAATTGTGATGTTTATTTCTACCCTTTTAGGGTAGAATCAGGAAAAGCAGGCTGCTTCTCTCCTAAAATCAGTCGTAAAGAAAAAGTTCGAAGATCTCTGCGTTTGAAATTTAGTCTGGGAAAAAGTAGCAGAGATGTAGTAAGTATCTTTCACCATTTCATTGGTGAAAACAGATAATTTCATTTATCTGTTTTTACTAGCAAAAAAATGCAAACTTGTCTCCACTCTAGCTATTGGCTACTTTCTGTTCCCTGGTGCAGCAAGACTCCTTACTAGTGTTGATACTTATTTATCACTTTCCTTAAACCGTTTCCAGTTAGTCTTTCATAAAATAAAATTGTTCCTGTCAAAGTCACCATTGAATTCAACTGTTTACGCTAAAAGTCAGATGTTGTTAGAGTCCTTTCTTTTAAGACACTGCAACCCATGATTTTCCTCCTTTACTGGTTACTTCTCAGATTATTTTGCATTTAAGTGTCTAAAGCTCAGTCCTTGGACTTGTCTGTCTTCACTCACTCAAGGTCTATCTTTTTAATATTTCAGCTTTCCTGAACAACTTGATTGTGTTCTTGATATCTGCCAGCTTAACTTCCCAGTAAACATTTCAGTATAAATCTGTCCCAAACAAAGCTCTTAGGATGTACTTCTTTGCTGCCACTGTTGTCACTTCCCCCTTCGATCAAACTAGACATCTGCTTATTGACTTCTCCATCTCAGTTATATTACTTCATTCTCTTAGGAAAAAAATCCAAAAGCTATTCTTCACTCTTTCCTCTCACATATTGTGTTTAATCCATTAGACAGTCCTATCTGCTTTAACTTTAATTTTCTTAGGATACCCAGATTTCGTTGAATAATTCTTGCCAGTACTACTACTTTTTCTGCCTTCTTTAAGTTCAGTCATCTTTCCTAGATGATTGCAATAAGCTTTACTAACTCCTTTTAACAGGTTTTCCTACCCTTTTCCACCCTTCCTGAAGTACTGCAGCCAAAGTGTTAAAAAACTTCGCACTCAAGTTAGATCATGGCACTCCTGCTTAAAGTTCTCTATTACTTCTCATTTCACTCCGATTAAGAGCTAAGGTTCTTACATTGACCTGCAAAGTGCTTTAGGTCTGTCCCAGCCTTACTCTGTGTCCTCTTTCCCTGCTGCTCCCCCGTGCTTTGTTGGCTTTGGGCTCCTTACTATTTGTTAGACAGGCCTGTCTTCACTCCACTTTCTTAGTCTGCACTGCAACTTGCTACTGCCCAGAAGAGTCTTCCCCTTTGTAACGTCATGGCTCTTTTTTTTTTTTTTTCACTTTTTAAACGTCATGGCTCTTATTCTTCAGTTTTCAAGTCTTTAGTAAAAAATCTCTTCTGATCTATTTAAAATTACACACTCGCTCTTCATTACACAGTATCATTCTGGCCCTGCTTTACATTTCTCCCTAATTTTTCATTTTGTTTATTATATGATTTGCTATTCATCTTGGTTTTGCCCTCATCTGGAATGATAACTCTATGAAAATAATATTTTGTTCCATTTTTTCACTAGTTTGAAAAGACAAAGTTAGCTCCAAGTTTTATTTTTTTAAGTTAATGAATATTTGAGACTTTTTAATCACCTATAGATGTTGATAGCTACAGAAAAATATTATCTTAATATTTAATTAATTTGATTTTTTTTATGCAACATTTTTTTATCTTCTATATAGAATGTTTATTCAGAAGTCAACAGACATGAAAATGTTGGTCGACGACTTGCAAATCAACAAAGTTTAAAAAATGGGATTGAATCTGTAAAAACAGGTCTGCTTTTTAGCCCAGATGTTGGTGAAAGAGTGACACGAAAAGGTACATTTACATATTAAAATTTTACTAAAATAGTGTGCTTTAGTTGCTTTTTGTTTTTTTAGTTGCTTTTTAAATGGCAGAATATCTTCATTTGTAATGTTAGAATGAAAAGCTTTTGAATGAAAATGTTTGAAAACATTTGAATTGGCAGTATGTTTTCAATAATTTAAAGATGCTTGTAAATTGGAAAATAGTCGTTTTATATTAAAAATTATTTCACCTAACAAAGCTTTGGAATTAAATGCTATTGCCTTTATAATGTTTGGATAACATTAAGAGTTAAATGTAAAGGATTAAAAATGCTCATCTGCTTTGTTTTAGGCTCAAAAAAGATCAGTAAATCAGAGGAAAATTTATTAACTCCAGAGCGCATAGATGGAACAAATTACCGCATGTCTTGGACAGGACCTAGTTCAAGTTTTCAAGAAGTAGATGTAAGTGAAACATCTCCCAAAATAAGAAGCCTTAAAATGGAAAACTCTTCTGTGGACTCTGATCTTGCAGCTGAAAAGTCATCTGTTATTTCATATGAACTCACTGCTTCCAATGTAGACAGTTTGGACAGCAAACATGATAACAGTGTATCTGGAAACACTCTTAGTGGGGATGAAAGTACTTTGACCACAGAGACTTTAGTGAAAATCCAGAAAGCATTTTCTGAATCTGGAAGTAATCTTCATGAATTGATAAATCACAGGCAATCATCAATAACTAATGTGGAGGAAGGAGAATCAGATGAACTAGCCTATGTAGAATATAGCCCAGAGAAAAACTTGTTTGAAGCTAATGATTTGACAGTGATAGAATCAACAGAAAACTGTGAACATCGTACTAAAAAAGATGAAAACAGTCTTTCAGAGAGCAGCTTCTTACCGTATCAAACTCAAAATTTGGGCAAAGAAACAACTATGACATGTTATTCAACTCAGATGAAGATGGAACATGAAAAATGTGCTTATTCAGGTACACCAGAAGATAATGTAAGCAAACAAGAATTCCCTAGTGAGGAACAAATAAATAAACATGAATCCCCTAGATATGAACGAAATACTAAATTAAAAGAGAGTGAGAATTTGACTGACGAAGACTTAAAGACACGCACAGCTTCTATGACGGACATAGCTAAATCATCTTCTTTAGAGCACATTACATGTAATATAAAAAGCACATCAAATCCCAAGCCTGCGAGAATCGTTAAACAACAGTCACTGGTGGAAACACGTGAACAAACGGTTTCAGAAAACGTACAAATTACAGAGCATACAAAGGTTTCAGACCACATACAATGGTTTAATAAACTTTCTTTAAATGAACCAAAGAGAACAAAAGTTAAGTCGCCTCTCAAGTTTCAACGTACTCCTGTTCGTCAGTCTGTCAGACGAATTAATTCTTTGTTGGAGTATAACAGACAACCCGTCAGGTGTAAGTTGATGAGCCATGAAGATGCTGCTTCTCCTCTGGTTAAAGCAGTAAGCTGTGACAGCACCCTTTCTTGTATTCAAAATGTGTCACAAGGTTCCTCTAGTAAAGGTAACAAAGCAAATTTTGAAGAACAAAACTCTGCTTTACAGAAACAGCCAACTGTTGATGTGATTTCAAAATCAAGTGTGGAGTTAACCTCTAAGTCTTTATCAACGATGAAGATGCACCAAGACTCAGTGAATTCTTCTCTTGGGTCAACTAGAATTTGTAAACAGGAAGTGATATCTCATGACCAAATTAAGGTTCCTTTGGACGACTTGACTAATTACGATATATTAAAATCTGTTGTAAATAGCAACGTAGGCTTTTCTTCTGGGATAAATAACAGAGTCCTTAGGAAACCATCAGAAAGAGAACGAGCTTGGTATAAAGGTTCTCCCAAAAATCCAATTGGAAAAACTCAGCTATTACCATGTAGACCTATAGACTTGTAATTGGTAAATGGCCTTCTTATCATTGATGTAAATAAAATTAGCAATCACTGATACTGACTTGCAAAAGAATTACAGGTTAATTTTATAGCTCAGGATGATGATTAAAGGATTGATTTTTCTTTGGAAATTTTGTTTTCACTGCACATGCAACTTGAATTTTATATTTGTATAAATGACTACCTTTTTTTCTTAATTTGGCAATATTTAAACTACTTCAAATTTTATTGTTTAAGGCTGAGATTATGTTTTAGTGTCTTTAAGAAGTTGTTGACTGGATTGATAAGTACTTTTTGAAATATGCATGAATTTTCTTTTTATATGTGATAGAGTGGAGTGAGCTGTGTGTATTTCCTGTTTTCCTTCTATGTCAGATGAAGTTGCTACAAGAAATTAGGAGAGATAAGGGATGAGGAAGAGATAAGCCTTGCATAATGTATTTCTTAGAGAAAACATTTATTGTCTTTGCTCAAATTCTTTTATTTTATTCATTTGTTTGTTCACTAGTATCCTAATATTTTATTTCTATTTGGGGCACAGATAGTTTGTACTGACTATAGATGGGTACAGCTGAGCTAAAAATAATAACTAAAACTGAATAATGACTAAAATGTGCTCCTGTACTTTGATATAGAATTGATGACTTTTAAGCCATATCATGTTTAAAATTAATTTGCACAAATACTGTTGTTAACTCTCTTGCCCAGTTATTAATGGAGGAATAATTAAACTTGAGAAAGTTTCATCAAGGCTTGATTTTAGAATTTGGAATAATTGATTCATCTCTGTACATTTAACTAGGATGAAAGTCTGCAGTGGTTTTGTCTTATGTGTAAATGTTATTTATTTAGCATAGACATTAAAAAGAATTTTTGGGATAGCAATTTCCTGAGACTAATGAAGTTCAAAGTGCCATTTAATATTTGATTCTAGTAGTCAGGCTACACTTACCTAAATTTACATTTTAAACTGTTTTAAATGAAGATTAGACACTATAAATCTTTAAGAAAATAGCATGATGACTAATAGAGCATATTCCCTAGGTTTAGGAAAGTCCTTGAGGTCAGTTAAAATGCCACAGTGGGATGATGTTGGAGCAGAATAAAAACACATTGCACACCTGCTTGTTAGCAACCAGATTTACACATGAGGAATTTCCTGGCTTCATATATTTGCTTTGCTATATTCCACTAGGTGGCAGGACATCTGTTATATTGCAAAAGCTGTTTTCTGTCTTTAAACATTCTCAAGGAATTAATGCTAACTCAGTGAGAACTTGACCATATAAAGTCTGAGAAACTAAATGTAAACATCATGCTTGTTGTTAGGTGGTGTCGATTTCAGTATGACTCTTAGTGACCCTATGAGCAACAGATCTGAAACTTGTACTAGCCTGTGTCATCCTTGACACTTGAGCCTGATGTTGTGGTCACGGTGTCAATGTCAGCCCATATCTTTGGGGAGGGGAGGTGATCCTCTGTTTAGGTGATTCTCTACCTTTCTTTACCTTTCCAAGGAATAACGTGACCTAGCAACTTGTCCAAATTATGAGAGATGAAGCTTTGTCATTCTTGCCCCCAAGGAGCACCCTAGCTGCACCTTTTTCAAGACACCTGTTCATTCATTTGTCAGTCTATGGGATATTTATTACTCCTCTCCTACATCAACTCTTCATCCTTATTCATTGACTAGCTCTCAGATGCAAGCAAGTGACTGAAATGACTACTGCCTGAATCAGGTGTGCCTTAGTCATCAAACTGTTATCATTGCTCTTCAATATTTTGGTGAGGTCCCTGACAGTGGACTTGCCCAAAGCAATATGTCTCTTGATTTCCTGATTGCTGGTACCCAGGGTGTTGATTATGGATCCAAGTAAAATGAAATCATTGACAGTTCCAATCCTTTCTCCATTTATCATGATGTTGCCTATTGGCCCAGTGGTAAGGGGCTCTGGTAGCCTAGTGGTAGGATTGAAAAGGATGGGCAATCTCCTGTGGGATTTACTGCCCCTGAAAACCTGCTGTTAGGTCAGCTATGGATCTGATTTGACAACAACAATAATGCTTGTTGTTGTTGTTAGGTGCCATTGAGTCGAGCACAACTCACGCTGACCCTATAAATAAAAAACCTAAACCCTGTGTCATCCTGTACCATCCTCACACTTCTGATACAAGAGCCCATTGCATCAGTCACCATGTCAATCCACTTGGTTAAGGGTCTTCTCTTTTACTGACCCTCCACCCTTCCCAACATCCTGTCCCTCTCCCAGGAATAGCACCTCATGGCTACGTGTCCAAAGTATGTGAGGTGAAGCCTCATCACTCTTGCCTCCAAAGAGCATTCTGGCTGCACCCACTCCAAGACTTTTTATGTTTGTCTCTTGACCGACCATGGGCTGTTCAGTGTTTTTCTCCATTTCCAAGGAAGGTGATCCAGCTGAATGTGGAAATTGTCGAACAATATCATTGATGTCACATGCAAGAAAATAATGCTGAAGATCATTAAAAAATGGCTGGAACAGTACATAGATAGGGAACTGCCAAAAGTTCAAGAAGGATTTAGAAGAGGTCGTGGCACCTGAGATATCATTGCTGGTGTCAGGTGAATCCTGGCTGAAAGGAATACTAGAAGAATGTCTATTTGTGCTTTATTGACTATGCAAAGACATTTGATGGTGTGGATCCTGACAAGTTGTGGCTGACATTGAGAAGAATGGGAATCCCAGAGTACTTGATTGTGCTCATGCAGACCCTCTACCTGAACCAGGAGGCTGTTTTTTGAACAGACCAGAGGAGTACTGCATGGTTTGGAATTGGGAAGGGAATGTGCCAGGGTTGTAATCTTTCCCCATACCTATTCAATCTGTATGCTGAGCAAATTATCCAAGAAGCTGGACTCTATGAAGAGGAGTGTGGTATCAGGATTAGAGGGAGACTCATCAATAACCTGCTTTATGTAGATGGCACTTCCTTGCTTGCTAAAAATGAGAAGAGCTTGAAGCATTTGTTGCAGAAGATCAAGCAATGCACTCTTCAGTATGGATTGCATCTCAGTGTCAGGAAAACTAAGATTCTTACCACTGGACCATTAGGCAACATCATGGTGGCTGGAGAGGAGATTGAAATTGTCAACTGCTTCATCTTGCTTGGATCCACAGTTAACAAATACCCTTGGTACAAGCAGTCAGGAAATACGGAGACACATTGCACTGGGAAAATCTGCAGTTAAGGACTTCTCCAAATTATTGAAGAGTAGTGATGTCAGTTTTAGCACTAAGGTGTGTCTGATTCAGGCCATGGTCTTTCTGATTACTAGCGGTGCACAAACATGCTTACTTAATATCTAAACACATTTGAAATGACCAGCTATGCACATTAGATCTTGTGTTACATTTCTATAGTAAGTTGTGCCATTGAGTCAGAACAGACTCAAATCTGACTCTCCAATTAATTTTCAAAGACTAAATTGCATGGGCAGAAGTTGCTCATGTTTCTCCCATGGAGCAGCTGGTTGATTAAAACCATCTGCTTTAGGGTTGGCAGCACAACTTCCCAGTAAGCCACCAAAGCTTCCTCTATAGTAAGTAGATATAGAAAATACTCTTAATTTCTTAGATTCTGACAAGCTTAAAACATTTGTTTTTTTTTTTCTAACTTTATCCTCTGAATATACATTTATGTCATAGGAAAGTAATGTTATGGGGGATGGACAAAAATATTGAATTGGCACACTCAGTTAAAACTTGTGAGGTTAAAAAATGACAGCAACTACTATTTTATTTGGAAGATTTGGTGTCTTACAATGACCCTCCACCTTTTCCAAGCATGATGTCCTTCTAGTTAGAAGGACAGGCCTCTCCTAACATGTGCAAAGTATATGAGATAAAGTGTGTCCATGCTTACATCCAACAAGCACTCTGGTTTCACTTTCTCTGTCCAGTCTCTGCCGTCCACGTGAAGTTGGGGGATCAGCCTAAGTGAGGAAGACTCCTGATAAGATGGAAGACAAGCAGTGACTAGCAATGACCTAGTGTGCAGAGCTAGTGAAGACTGCACAGGATGGGGCAGGTTTCAGTTCTGTTGTTCATAGCATCACTAGGAGTATCCTCATGTAACATAACTTTGGTGGTTTGGTGCATAAGGAGTCGAGCTGCTAATCCAAAGATGAAGCCTCTCTGGCAATTTGAATTCAGCAGCAGCTTCGTGTGAAAGAGAGGGGCAAGTTTTGTGGGATTACACCCTCTGGAGGATCAGCTGAGAGGACTGACTGGATGGCAATGACTTGTGAGTGAAGCTGAAAGGTTGGTCATTTTGAACTAATGTAAATGTGTAAATTCTACTTAGGGGAGGTGACAGCCTTGAAAAGCCTGTGGAGCCCACACAGTTCCGCTCCCAGTACCCTCACTATCAACTTAAAACACCTTTCCTTGCTTATGATTACTTTTTTTTGTTAGTTCCTTTTTTTGGCTTAATGTTAATTATAACATTTTCTGATCAGTAATACAATCATTGTCAAAAATTAGTAAATACAGAAGGAAAAAAATAATTAAGCTAAAGCTATCTATTATCCTAGATATACAAGCTAAATCTAGCTTGAAAGTATCTCAGTCTGTCAGTTCCTGGTGTGGCTTCTGCTAATTTCTAACAAAGGTTAATTGAGAAGGAAGAGTCAATCACAAATCACAGCAACACTGAAAATGAAGGGTTAATTCCTTTTATCTATCTGGAAGCAGTTTTCACAACATACTTAATGATTAAGTTGTAGAAACAAAACAAGACAACGTATTCTACGCAAACTGTCTCTTGAAACAAACCATCAGTTTGAACGCGTTTATGATTACTTTTGGTGATAACAGATTTGATAAAACTGAGAAGAGACTAGAATTCTAACATTGAGTTCTTTACCCTTAGATACCTAATATCCTCAGACCTTGATTAAAATAATTTGAAATATGGTGTTTAATGACTTTTATTTTGAATCTTCTATATGAAAACATTTAACATGTTTTTAAATTGCACGTAACAGATGCTGTATAAGCTCTTAGTGACAAAAATTATGGATCTGCCTACATATATTTTCTAAACCACGGGTGGCAATACTTAAGGATACTTTGGGCAGCTTATTAAATGATCCAGAAAGTATCAAGGGAAGATGGAAGGAATACACAGAGTCACTGTATCAGAAGGAATTGGCTGACACAGAAGAATTTCATGAAATGACATATGAGCAAGAGCCTATCGTGATGAAAGAGGAAGTCCAAATTGCTCTGAAGGAATTGGCAAGAAACAAGGTTCCAGGAGTTGACGGCATACCAATTGACATATTTCAACAAACAGACGCTGGCCTGGATGTGCTCACTAAGTTGTGCCAAGAAATTTGGAGAACAGCCAGCTGGCCCATTGACTGGAAAAGATCAATATTTGTTCCCATTCCAAAGAAAGGGGACCCAACAGAGTGTGGAAATTATCGAACAATATCATTGATATCACATGCAAGCAAGATTCTGCTGAAAATTATCCAAAAACGTTTGGAACAATATGTCAACAGAGAACTGCCAGATGTGCAGGCTGGATTTAGAAGAGGTCATGTTACTAGGTATATTATAGCTAATGTCAGATGGATCTTGGCAGAAAGCAAAGAATACCAGAAGAATGTCTATCTGTGCTTCATTGACTATGCAAAGGCTTTTGACTGTGTGGATCACAGCAAGCTGTGGCTGATTCTAAGAAGAATGGGAATCCCAGAACATTTGATTGTGCTAATGCGAAACCTATACTTGGACCAGGAGGCAGTCGTCAGAACAGAGCAAGGAGACACTACATGGTTCAAAATCAAGAAGGGGGTCCATCAGGGATGTATTCTGTCTCCATACCTTTTCAATCTGTATGCAGAACAGATCATCCAAGGCGCTGGGCTATACGAAGAGGAATGTGGAATCGGGATTGGTGGAAGAATCATCAACAACCTGCGTTATGCAGATGACACAACCCTGCTTGCTGAAACTGAAAAGGACCTGAGGCGCTTGCTGCATAAGATCAAGGACTACAGCCTCCTATATGGACTGAAGCTAAATGTCAAGAAAACAAAGATTCTAACCACTGGGCCGATTGGCAGCATCAGCATGGATGGTGAGGAGATTGAGATAGTTAAGTTTTAATTTACTTGGCTCCACAGTCAATGCTCTTGGTAACAGCAGCCAGGAAATCAGGAGACGAATTGCATTGGGAAAGTCAGCTGTGAGGGACCTCTCAAGAGTACTGAAGAGCAACGATGTCAGGCTGGAGACTAAGGTGCGCCTGATCCGGGCTATAGTCTTCGCAGATATGTGCTATCCATCAGAGAATTGAACAGTGAATAGGGCTGATAGAGGATTGATGCCTTTGAGCTGTGGTGCTGGAGAAGAGTGTTGAATATACCATGGACTGTTGGGAGAACAAACGGGTTTGTCCTGGAGAGGGTGAAGCCATAGTGTTCCCTGGAGTCAAGGATTCTGAAGTTTCGTCTGACATACTTTGGGCATGTTGCACGGAGGGACTGGTCCTTGGAAAGGGACATAATGTTTGGCAGAGTGGAGGGGAAGCGAAGGAGAGGAAGACCTTTGGTGAGATGGATCGATTCTGTGACTAGAGCGGTGGGAATAAGTGCGTTTGAGATGGCTAGGTTGGCACAGGATAGAACAGCATTTAGAGCTCTTGTACACAGGGTCGCTATGAGTGAGTCGCAAGCAACTCGATGGCACATAACAGCAACAACAACATGCTATAGCTCTTGGGTCCCTTTTCAGCCCCAAATTGGAATTTTAATTTATGTGGAGATTTAGGGGTAGTACAGAGGTTTCAACTGTTCGTTGATGTGTCATCAGAAGCAGTTAGTACCTTACTGCCACCACTAAAACTTCTCAAGACCCCTTCTGATTTGTCTCATCACTCCTGCCAATACTTCTCACTTCAGGGCAAAACCCTCCACCCCACCCTCAAAAGAATGTGTAAAACTGTTCTAAAAGGTGGCAAACCTGGAGGCATGCTATTTGGGAAAGAAGTACATAGGCGGCAATGCAGTAAGTACATCGTCTTTGGATCATTGATCCATCCTGTGCTTCGGGGTTGTTTGCAAAGCGGCCTCCACCTGCTGGAGGCGGGGCCGAGGCGGAGCGAAGATGCGGAGCGGGGTGACGCACAAACTGCCTCCTCTCCGGCTTCCAGACGGACCCAGGCCGAGGCCCAGACCGCAGCTCGCTCCGCGGAGTGTCGCTCTGTCCCTCGGTGAGTACGGTGTGGATGGCGACTCCACCTGCTGCACACCCAAAATACGAGCTTCGAGAATGAGGGAGGGCTTCCTGCCGGGATTTTGGAGCTGCAGGCTGGAGCCAAAGGATGCAAGGGAGGTCCGGGGGCGGGGGCACTGTTATGCCGATGGGGGAAGGAGAATTGAGGGAGGAGACTGTGTGGCTCATCAAATCGGAGCGGTGTTGTCTGGAGATAGGTTTAAAACAGCGTTCTGAAAAAGATGGAGATGGATGACTCGGCCCTTTTGGCAGTGCAGCAAAGAGGTCTTTTTAGCTCATGGACTAGAAAGGTTTTGTATTTAGAAAGGACCAGAGACAGACTTTGACAGAAAAATGTATGGAGTGGGGAGTATGTGCATTTCTGTTGCAGGGAAGAAAAGACAGGGTTTTGCCCCTAGAGGAAATGAGAGAGGGCGATCAAAGAGAGTGGTTTACAAGGCTGTGCTTGGAAGCATAGCTGGGCAGCTGCAGATGTCAGCAGTGGGAATATTGTCTCCCGGCTCTGAACACAGCCATGGAACTACATTTAGGGCGTGCTGATTAGTGCCCCCCCCCGCCCCCTCTGCCCTCATCATTCTCTCACCTGCAGAACTGTGAAGAATTCAAAGCTGCCAGTCACCAAGGGCAAACAGAATAGGAGCTCCTTTTGTTCCTGCCACTGTTCCGTCTTTTTACATGTATGCGCACTTTAACTCTCACAACAAACAGCCTTATAAGGCAGACAGACATATTGTCCCCCTTTTTACTTTTCAGATACAAAAACAAAGGCGTTTGGCTAAGATTACAGGCCTGTGAAGAATATCTCATCTTCCTGCCAGATGGCAGGGTCGGGCCTTTATTTTCACTCTTCTCTCAGTCTCAGATATAATAGGTGTTTAATGAACTAAAGATTACTCCCCCTCCAAACTTTTACCATTTGTTTCTCCTTGAGTCCCTCCTATTAGCCCTTTCTGCCCTGAAACTGGAAAAACACAAGATATTGCTACCCTTCACCCTCTCCCAAAATAGAAGCAAGATGGGGCTTGGCTTTTATTTATTTTTTTTTTTATTAGGGAGAGATGATGAGAGTGGTTGGATTTGGGGAATGCAGAACATTGTAAGAGATGCAGGAATGAAAGCAGGAATGAGAGTCTATTCCAAGTCTGTTTCAGGCAAACCTTCTCAAGAATGCCAGAGGGAAGGGAATTGGATACCTCAGACTGTTTTATTTCATTAATACCTTCCCACAGCAGATGCCATGCATAGAGTAGACACTTAAACGTCAAACTCCTAAAGATATCATTATAGCCCTTGCAGGGTGGTTCTTGAGTTACGGTGGCCTTTAGATCTATGTATAGTCTTTTCTCTGCAGGTTAAAAATGGTCTCCCGAAAGATCTCTTCCCTGCTGCCTGGTCTACTGCTTTGGCTGGCATTTGGATGGACTCTGAGCTCTGCTTATAGCCCTCGGACCCCTGACCGGGTCTCGGAAGCAGATATCCAGAGGCTGCTCCATGGCGTCATGGAACAGTTGGGCATCGCCAGGCCCCGGGTAGAATATCCAGCTCACCAGGCCATGAATCTTGTGGGCCCCCAGAGCATTGAAGGTATTTATTGTGTTCTGCCAGTTTGAAATTTTTATGAGTGTTTTAAGTAGTTTGAACATTTTTCAAGAGACTGTTTCCCCCTCCTTTGTCAACCCAGTCTATGCACACATGTACCCACGCTTGAGTCACATAAGATGAGGAATCTTACCTATTTAATTCCCAACTCCAGCTCCATCCTCAAGTACAAAGTCTGGTATATAATGGGCGCTCACTTAATATTTTTTGCGTGAGAAAGTTAGCACCTAATGAGAAACTGGAGTCCAGACCCCATGTCTCCTTTCACTACTGATCTTAGGGAAATTGTATTCCCAGTTGGTTTCCTCTGTGAGCATCTGGCAGCCAGAGTTTGTAAAAGGTTCCCAAAACATAGGACCTGTAAGTTCTGATTTAATCCTGAGAGAGCACTCCAGATATTCCCAAGGAGTATGAGCCGAGCTTCTCTCAATTTGTGATACAGCTTCATTTCCATGTCATGCTCCTTTCTGATTCTAAATGCTCTTCCCTGCTAAGATGGAGCCCTAAATCAGTGGTGGTGGTGTTAGATGCCATCGAGTTGCTATGACTCAGCGACCCTGTGAACAATGGATCTGAACCTTGCCCTAATATATGCTGTCCTCATCATCTCTGATATGCTTGAGTCCATTGTTACACTCACTGTGCCAATGCATCTTGTTGAAGGTCTTTATTCTTTCTACTTTTCCAAGCATTACATCCTTTTCAAAGGATGAGCCCCTCCTAAAAACGTGCCCAAAGTATGTGAGATGAAGCTTTATTTTCCTCACCTCTAATGAGCGCCCTGGTTGTATTTTTGCCAAGACATAGTTCAACTCAACGGCATTGATTCTTCCTCTGCCATACTTATTAATTGTCCAACTTTCAGATGCGTAGTGTGGAATTGAAAAGCCTGAATCATAGCCTGAATCACATGCACCTTACTCTTTAAATTGATATCATTCTTCCTTACCACTTTGGAGAGTTGGTCATTGACAGCAGATTTCAGTAGTGTGATTGATTGATTGATTGATTGTAACACTTGCTTACAGTTCAATTGTTTGTCCATGGAAGAGAGTCCTAAGGACAATGTGTTGAGAGACATGAATGTATTCTACATATCTTCTCAAAACCTTCATCTAAATGTAATTTCCTGTGGATTGGTGATGTGTCATTTTGCCTGAATCTTACGATCTCCTAAAATTTGCTGTCTGCCCTGGGGTCCTATGAGTGTCATGGGCATTATTAATTATGAGTCACATTTCTGTCTTATTATACATTGTTAGGACACTGAGTAGAACACAGTCTGTACGGTTGTGTTGTTTTGCTTGACATTTGATTTTAGGAATGGATTAAAATATATCATTTGAATCAGCAAATACAACTCAAATCCAAGCAAATAGCAGGGATTCACATTACCTTTTTGAGGGAAAATTTGAAACCTTGACAGTGTGCTTGGCGTCTCTTACTTCCAGCATACCTATCCATTCCAGACCAGCTGTTTGGCAACTGTAAATATCTGCCCTTTTAACACAGTAAGTGCTTGATTAGTTACACTGCTGTTGCCATGGAGAAGGCTTTTTGAGTTTCCATTAATACCTGGAAGCCTGGTCATCTGCTGGAAAAGCAGCAGCAACTCCTTGAGTGTAAAAAGCCTGCTTATCCAGAGCCTTATTTTTTTGCACTCAGATAAAAATCAAGCTCATTATTCTCACTTTAGTTCCAACTCATAGTGACCTTCTGTTGGGTTTCCAGGTATGAATCTTTGCAAAAGGAGACCACACATCTTTCTCTTGTGGAACAACACGTAGATTAGAACTATTAACCTTTTGGTTAGTAGCCCAGTATACTTGTTAATATTCTATCAGCTATTCTTATTTTATTCACTAACTCACTCTCACTCACTCATTGCTTTTAAGTTGGAACCAATTCATATCCAACCCTCCAGCAGGTTTTCTAAGGCTGTAAATCATGGAGGAGGAGGCTGCCTGTTGCCTTTCTGCCATGAAGCCAATGGTGGACTTGAACCACCAGAAGGGCTCAGACTTTGGGTTAACAGCACATCTCTCTGTAGACCACTCCACCAGAGCTCCAACTAGTTAGCCTTTCCGTGGTGCAAATGCTTACCTGGTAGCCACAAGCTTAGTGGCTCAGACCCACCCAGAGGCACCTTGGAAAAGAGACCTGACTATTTGCTTCCTAAGGGTCACAGCCATGAAAAACCTGTGGAAGGCAGTTCCATGGGCTCCCTGTGAGTCTGCATCAACTTGTAGGGAACTATTTTTATACCACACTGTGGGAGAGTCTGGGGCAGCTCTGCCCTGGAAGAGTCACAGTCCAGTTTTTGTCCTTCATGGCATGGCGTCAGTTCCAGTGGGTGCAGAGCAGAACTATGCTTTGTGGAGTTTTCAAGGCTGCAACCTGGAATCAGACCATCAGGCTGTGTTCCAGCCTTGCCATTTTCACCACTCAGAGACTCCCAGAGGGTGAGGGTGAGGATGAGGATATAAAAATTTACTGCAGGGTATAATGGCAGGGGTGTGAGAAGATGTCCAAAGAAGCTGCCATGAAAGCAAGGAGCATGAGGAAATCACTGCTTGCGGGGTGAGGGAGATGGGAGTGGTTATAAGGGAACATCTCTCTGAAGAAGTTGTGTTTGCTTGGGGTTTGAAGCTTGAGCAGACTTCATCTGAGACAGCAAGTGAGAAGACATAGAGGTATAAAGAAGCATGGATCAGGAGTACTCACAAATAAATATTCTGCCTCCATTATTACCCATGGAGTAATGTGAGGTCGTTACAAATCTAGATCTTTTCTGACAGTCTCTGTAAACAATGTTTATTGACATGTTTTCCTTTTCTGTTGCTTTGTAACCATATAGAACACTTCATTTATTATCTGTTTTCATGGGATAGGAGTTGTGTGGGCACTGGTTAGTGGGGTCCTCTGGTCAGCCTCCCCATGTTTAAGTCATGGTGTTGGCCACATCTGCACCCTCAGGTGGAGTGCAAGGTACTTTTCCAACTTCATGCAGGTTATTGGCAAAATGCAGTTATGATTATAGGAGGGGAAAAAAGGATAAAAGAAAACCAAACTTACTGCCATCAAGTTGATTCCAGCGCCTTCACAGCAGCCCTGTAAGACACAGTGAGTGGAACTGCCCCACAGTATTTCCAAGGTGATAAATATTTACAAAAGACTTCTAGCTGGTGAGTTAGGACCATTGACCTTCCAGTTAGGATCTGACCTCTCACTGCTGCATCATCAGGGTTACTCTAGAGGACTGAGATTTCCTGTTCTTGCTGAGTCTAATTTCTTAGAGGCCACTCTCAAATAAGAATAATCTCCTGAGTTAGCAGTTTACTTCTTTAGAGCTGGGGACAAGCATCCCTTTAGTTTTCCAAGGTGGACATGTAATACGACATGTAATACAACAATCAGCAAGCGCTCGCCTATGACTTTATCGTCTAATGAGAGTTGTATACTCATTATATGCATAGATCCCACCTTGACTCAGAAGGGGATTGTTGCGGATGGCTTATCCTGTTTCTTGGGGAGAAATTATGCCTGGAAGAAATAAATAAGGACACAAGAGACAAACAACATACAGTGACAAAATAGGACCGCTGCAGCCAGACAGGACAGGACAGGACTACCCCAGCAGCTGTACCATCTTTATTTATGCCTTTTGGAAACAAAGAGGTGGTTCACAGGGAAATAGGAACTTTAAGGGTTACATCATAGAGCCCAGGCGAGCTGGGTACAAATAGAAACATTAAGATTACCAGAAGGCTCAGATGGGCTGGGTACATAGTTAGATACATTCAACCACAGACTTCTTTGTATTCATAAACTGTGCTTTCTCTCATCTTGCAACAACTTTATCAAGAGCAGGAATAATAACGAAAGTCCGTGTCTAAAGATGTATGAGAACCACTTGCAACCTTCCTTTTCAGAGCGCCTTGTGAGCTCTGCTTGCAATCTTCTTTCTGAAGACACCTTCTGTGTGCAAGGCACACAGCCATATTCTAAGGATGCAGTCTTTTACATTCTGTGGTTCCCTACAGGGGATGATTATGCAGGATGTGTATACCAGATAGGGGGTGCTGGTGGTGCAGTGTTCAGGTGGTTATAAATGCTTCAGAAAGAAATTCATAAACTATTGATAGGGGCTGGGAGAAATGATGTCAATTAAGGACTGGAAATTCCTCACTGGGAAGGTGAACAAAATCTAAGTGATGAGAGAGTGAGCTGGGAGGTATATAGAGGAAGAACATTCTAGACGGAAGGGACAGAAATAATAAGAAGATGAGAACTGCTTGAGGAAAAGCTAGGAGACCATTGTGGCTGAAGAATCCGAAAAGACTCCAGGAGATAAGATTGGGGTCATTGCAGAAAGGCAAGGTGGGAACGTGAGTATGTTCACTTGTTGTCATGTGCTGTTGAGTTACCTGCCACTCACAGTGATCCTTTGTCAACAGCTCTGAAGCCTGCCCTGTCCTGAACTAGTCTCACTGACTCCGACATACCTATCCCCATTGCCGCAGTTACTGTATCAGTCCCTCTCATGCAGGGTCTTCCTCTCCTGCACTTCTAAGCATGATGTCCTTCTCCAAGGACCAGTCACTCCTGGCCACGTGCCCAAACTATGTGAGATGGAGCTTCACAATCCTAACCTCCAAAGAGAGACTTGGTTTCACCCTTTCCAAAACAGACCTATTTGTTTTCTTGGTGGTCCATGGTATGTATGTTCAAGACCCTTCTCCAGAACCACAACTCAAAGGCATCAATTCTTCTGTCATCCTTAGTCATTGTCCAGCTCTCTGAGTTATAGTGAGTAATTGAATTGCAAAGACCATGGCACTTATAAAAAAAGTGTTGCCTTCACCTCAGTTCCACCTCATAGCGAACCCTATAAGATAGGGTAGAACTGCTTCTCAGGCTTTTAAGGGCTATAATATTTATAAGGAAGGTATCTCAGGTGGTGTAATTTATAGGGAATTGTGGTG